CCCCCCTTCTTTTGTCCCCCCCCCCCCCCCCCCCGCCTCTCAAGCCTGCCAAGCTCCCTCTGAATGGCATCCCTTCCCTCAAACGAATCAACTGCACCACTCAACTTGCTGTCACCTGCGAACTTGCCAAGGGTGTGCTCAATGCCACTGCCTGTGTCGCTGGTGAAGACAGTAAATAGTACTGGTCGAAGTACGGACCCTTGAGGGACACCACTCGTTACTGGACATTGAGCTACTGATTGCGACTCTTTGGACACAGCCAGCCAGCCAACTCCTTATCCTTCTAACAGTCCATCCATCAAATCCATCTAATTTAGAGACAAGGATGTTGTCTGGTACCACGTTAAAGGCCTTACAGAAGTCCAGGTAGATGACATCAGCAGATCCTCCCTTGTCCACCAAAGCAGTCATAGGCGGCCACGAGATTAGTCAGGCATGATTTACCCTTTGTGAAGCCATCTTGGCTGTCTCTGATCACCTCCTTGTCATCTATATGCCTTGACATAGCTTACAGGAGGATCTGTTCCATGTTCTGACAAGGCACAGAGGTGAGGCTGACTGGTCGATAGTTCCCAGGTTCCTCCTTTTTACCATTTTTAAAAATGGGTCAATCAAACTGTAAATCACACTAAGGAATGGAACTGCTACAACTGGCATGTGGTTTTATTCTTGGTGCTGCATGCTTCCATTTTGTAAATTGGCACTCAATGTTACCACTTACAGTGAAGGTCAATGTATATGTTAATGGTGGCCTGAATTCAAGAAGTAGGAACGTCGTTCTTGATCTCTAGTAAGAGAGTCACAAGAACTCGTAAGGCCTGGATGCAAAGTCTCAGAACCTCTGTGTGAGTCTAATTTTATGTGTGTTGTGCAGACATGGCTCAGAGGTAGAAGATTAAATATATCCTAGTAAGCTTATACTTGGGGGAATGGTTCTACTTTGTATGCTTTTTCTTCAATTATGCAGTGTGAAGAATGTAAGGAACAGGGGCCAGAACCTCCTAATGGAGTCTCCTGATCCTGCTACAGTGTCAGTGAATTTTGCTGTCCTGTTTGGTGTAATATTCTACTGGAAGAGCAGTTAATGTATACAGTTGGGAAGTGAGAAAGCTGGACTTTATGCTGCCCAGCCAAAAAGCACACTGGAATCCAGACTGCCTGGTGCCTAGGGGCACTGGTAAACCACTAAGCTGGTACACAGAGGGTTGGAAGTGGAGTAATACCACATCCTTCTCATCTTGTTTTGTGTAATGCTACACCAACAGCAGAGTCCTTCTGTTAAGTGTGCTCAGCCTTATTGGAATTAGACTTTTGGGGAGATTAAGCAACATCTGAATGCCTCTCTACTGATATGTGACAACTTTAGCACTTTATGTCCATAATGGTGACATAAATATGACCCTGTGCCAAACTGCAGGGCAAACCTGGTTCAAGGGTGATGAGTAGTCATTCACATGCTTTGCTGTGAGGTAGCCTTCTGTTTGAAGGTGATGGTGGCTCTTGTGCACTCTTTACGCCGTCACACTGTCACTTACGTAGTCCAGTTTCAAGGGAGAAACACTGCTATCTTCCACCCCATCTCAGTTTTATCTGCAGTTAGCTTTGCACATGGGGGCAATGTGCGTGATTCTATTATGCATTAACTAAAATGCTGTTCTGCTGGGTAGCTGTGTCTTTGCAGCAGTGTTGCACTTGCATGTGTTTTACTGTTTGTTTTCATTACTCCACAGAGTTACTGTTAGCCAGCATGAGTGACATGCTGTAGTTGGGCTGTTTGTAGTGGCGGCCAGGGGTGGCTGCAGATTTTTCTGTATTAGGTGGGGGTGGTGAGATGGAGCTGTGTCTCCTGTAACACAACTCCTAATTAATGCAAGGCCTAACCTCTTTGCCGTACATGTCTGTGTTGTCCGCTTCACATACAATTAACTTTTCAGAGTCTCTAGGCCTGCGCAGTAAAGTCCTCCAGAAAATTGAAGAATTGCGGATGACAATGATCTCTGTTTCTGTTACTATCCCTGATGAGTTCTTGTGCCCTATAACAAGGGAGCTTATGAAGGATCCTGTCATTGCAGCAGGTATGTCTTTAAACAGCGTTGACTAAAATGAATTGCTTAAGGGTAAAGATAGGTGTGGGGTCACGAAAATCAAATAGCTGTTGCAACAAAACAGAACTGTGGTAAATGTTTAATTTGCCCAATTACATCGCTGATACAGAGAATAATACTGTTATGTTCCTTCCTTTGTGTGCTTTTGCAAATGTAATTACAAGCCTAATTACAGAGTTGTCTCCGTAAGTGCAAAATGGAATTGTGCACCCTGGGGGAGGGGGAGGGGACATGACCAAAAACCAGGCTCATTACTACTCTTAGCACACCACGCGTATAGCACTTAAAAGTTTGTACAGAATGAGATTCATTTAAATTCAACAAGACCTTGGAACTGAGATATGCAAGGAGCAGAAGATGTTATGATGTAGTTAAAACATTTTAGAAGAACTAGTATTTTATAGTTCTGATCTTGGTGGGGGGAGCATATGATCATCAAAAGACCAGTATATTTTTTTATGTTCTGTAAACAGTGACTAATTTCATACAGTTTTGAGGTATCACACCAGATTTTTGAGAATTAAATGAAGACATTTGCTAACTGCTAGAGTGGTAAGCACTGCACTTAACAGGGCTTGAGCTTATAAACAGTAGCAGTAGGGGGACAGCCTTGCATATCCTTTTCTTTATATGATTTTGAAATAAGGATACATAGCTTTAGAGCAGGATAGTTTTGTTGAAAAGTTGAAAATTACTGCCAGTTACTGTTCACATGTATATTACAAAACAAAATAGGCATTTTAAAGAGAAACTGTTGACCTTTTAAAATAAAATGTTCACAGTGTGTGATCAATTATAGTATTTAGTAGCTAATAAATAATGCCCGTTTGCCTTTCAGTATTTGCGTGTTACGCTGCTGTCCTGAAGCATGGGACTCCTCTGCTTTTCAGAACATTGGGTGGGCATATCTGGGAGTTCCTCACACTGCTTTATTTTTATAGAAGTTGATGAATAATAACAGAAATGTTAGCTATTGCAGCAGGAGAAAGGTTGGTTTGTGGCAAGACAGGTGAAGGAAAGTATAGTTCTGTGTTCGTAAACTTCTGTATTCACTAACTAGCTGCTTCACTGCCTAACACTGTAGAACTGAAGTTCCTGTAGTATGAACGCGGCTGACTTTAAGATGGGGGCAATTCTGCAGATTCAAATTGGAGGAATTTAGATATTTCTGAGATTAGAAAGTAACTAACTGAAGTGACCTGTGTATTTTGTCTAGGTTAGTAAGCTAAGTAAGAGTTAAGTAAAACTTTTATGCTTTTGTGCTTTGTAGAATTTAAGGAAAACTAAATAGAAGGTAGAATGCCAAATTGCCTATTTCTTTTACTCAAGTGACCAGCCTAAATAAGATTTTTTTCCATGTTAAGAAGTAAGTGGCCGATATTCAATAAGGGGAAGGAAATAGAGTGTCGCCCTGTTTTAGAGGAGGGGTGGAGGACACAGGTTTGTATTTCATCAGATGGAGGTGTTCCTGGGTGATTGTGCTAATACGTGGCAGGGTGGGGTGGGGTTTATTCCTCTATTTCTGTTCTTCAAGTAGCAGCTTGTTACGGTGCTGACTGGAAGAGCTGAAATCCTGAAACTAGATGGGCGTTGAGGGTCAAGTGCCCAACTCGGGGCTTGGTCGGCCCGCTGAGAGTTCATTGCTGAGTACTGCACAGCAGCAGTCTTTAGTTGTGTTAGCCTTTAGATGTTAATGAGCTTTCAGTTCTTATTATGGATCACTCAAACTGAAAAGGAAGTCTTATGTAACGTGCATAATATATTTTGGTGCTTTGCAGTGAGAGAGAGATAGAAACATGAAACTAGCCTGAACTGTTTATATTCATGGTCAGCTATCATTGTCCTTCTTTTTTTTTTTTTTTAACTATAAAGGGTTCCCGAGGTGAAAATACTTTTTAAAAAGTTAGTCAAGAACTTTATATTCAGCTAAATGGAAATGATTGTTTAAATTGTGATTAAAATCTAATGGTTTTATTAACCAAAGGCATGCACTAACTTTAACACCAATATGCCATTTATGGGGGGTTTTTTGGGGGTACACAGCTTTTTTTTGTTGTTTGGTTGGGTTTTTTTGTTGGGCAGGGAGTTCTTCCCCCACCTTAGGCTTTTTTTTTTTTTTTTTTTTAACTAACTGACATGCTGGTTTTATTAACAACTCTGTTTCATGTATAGTAATGGTTCAGTACCCTTTATTTTCCCTCTCCCATTGTCCTTAACTAGCAAATAGAAACATTGCGTTGTATTTCTCAAAGTACTGGGGTGGGGGGAGAATATTACTTGCAAATGCTTGGTGAGGCTTGACAATGTCTAGTATGGTGTCTTCAGAGTAATTTAGAACTAAACATCACAAGAGCTAAGCAACTGCAGTTCCAGGCAACTTGATGAGCATCACCTGATTTCCTTTAAAGGAACTGAGTAAGCACTGTTGTTATAAATGCTGATTGTCAATGCAGTTTCCTGGCCAGCCACCTCACTGGTTCAGTGTTTCTTGCTCTGATGATTCCTTTTTACAGCCTTGTAATGAACTTTATCTGTACAGTAGGTAATTCCTTAACCACAAATAAGGACACAGGAAGTCTTTATGTAATTTGGTCCTGTTGTGTACCTTAGTCACCAGATCAGGCATGAACTTGGCTTAATCCCGTGACCTCATCAGAGACAATCCCTTGGGTGGGAAAGGGCTAGTTTAGCAAAGGACTCTCGCTGGCATGCCTCTGCTGCTAACAAACAAACAGACACACAAGGCAAAATTCCAAGCCAACTGAAATCACTACAGCAGCAAAACATGAGTGTACATACACACAGAGCCTTTTCTGAAGACATCTCTATTTCATGTGTCCTTAAGGCCATACCTGGTTCTTGGCACAGGGCAGGGAGGGGGGTGTCTTCAGACACAGCTGCAAGAGTTTTTCAGATAATATGCTGCTTTGAAGTCATCAATGAACCTATGCAGCTGTAACTTATTTGACAAATTTGCAGTGCTTTCTAAAATAGCTTGTACTGGTTAGTTTGCTGAGTACAGTATAATTTAGAAAGGTTGAACCAAATTTTGATCTTAATACTGCTGTATAAAATTTTATTGTAGTATGTTTAACTATGTAATTTGAAAGAAATATGTTTCAGTTTATGGTAAAACTTTCACAGACCATTTTTCTGTATGTCAGTTTTCCTGTTTGGAAATACTGATTCCCTTACATCCCTTTTAAATTTAAATAGCTACAAGCTGTACAGCATAACAGTGCCCAGGCATCGGTAGCATAAGCTGTTGATGGTGGTTTCTTTGTAGATGGCTACTCCTATGAAAAGGAAGCAATGGAAAACTGGATCAGCACTAGAAGACGATCTAGTCCCATGACAAATCTTCCTCTCCCCTCTCTTATGCTTACACCAAATAGGACACTAAAAATGGCTATCAGTCGCTGGCTGGAGACTCAGCAGAAAGACAGTTAAACCGCTTAGTTTTGAAGTTGTTTGTTAAAATTAATGGAAATGAAATTGTATGTAGCTAAACGAAATAACTGCATCAGAAACAACTGGAAAGAAAAAAAAATGTGTTTCTGTTCTAATCTGTGGCTGTCATTTAAGTGGGTGTTAGGAGAATCTTCACTGTTGGAAGCTCCCAGGGAATTCCTGAAAAACTTTTAAGTTACTGGTAATTTTACTTTGCAGTATATCTGTTTAAGAAATGAAGTATTCAGATTCACAGTTTTTCAAATAAAGTTGTCTCAAAATTTTCACTACATTTATGAGTTTTGGTTTTGCCAAGTTAGTCTTTCAGAAGGTAAGAAATAGCAAAGTATATAATCTGTATTCCTTTTTCCAATTTAAAAACAAAAATGTGTCTTTCTCTGTTCCCTATTACTGAACATGGAGTTGGAAAAGTTGGGAGAGAGTTTCTCCTGTAACCATCAGTGACTGCATCGCATCCCACAGGTATATTAATAATCTTTATTTTGTACGGAAAAAAATACAGTAGTGTGCAAAAATAGAACTACAGGACAAGGCTAATATAGGACTTGTACAAAATATCAAAGAAACAGTAAACAATAAATAAGCTAAAGCATAATGATGCGAACTCAAAAAGAATTTGTAAAAATGGGTACGGCTGTTTACAATGTACATAAAACACTGCATACAAATAAGGTGTGAAAAGTGACTGACTATGTAAAGTTGACCACTCCAACCTAATTGCACTCACAGGAATGTCATTACATCTGTTTATTTTCAGGCTCTTTTTGCCAGTATAAAAATCTTATTTCCTCCAAAAAAAAAAAAACCTTCACGGCTTCATCCCATCATGCAACTGTATATACACTTTTCCTCAAACTTTCGTCTTCACTCCATCAATTTCTTGGGTTTCCCATAAAAACACTTACTGAACATTTCATTGCTGTACCTTTTTTGCAAATAAACAATAAATCATTCTGCTTTAAGATAGCACCCAAAGGTGATTAGATAAACTATATAAAGTGCGATTATTGTTAATATGCCATAATATTGTGTTCTTCAGTGCAATAACCAATATGGTCAAAGCCTTTCAATACACATGCAAATGTCACTGTTTATTTTACTTGATTTCTTCTAGTTACTAAAATAGTTATATTTACATGTCAAAACATGGCCACTTACTTTTAGTTTACTCATACACAAATTATTTATGCTTCCTAAATGTACATCATGCAACCCAAATTAGATCCCACTAGAAAAGTGATAAAATACTATCTTTGATTTTAAAAAAAGCATACATATACAGATCCGAGTATTATGCAGCAGGTATCTTTCTTAACACTGTTTTGAGAAGTAAGCACTTACTTAAGCATTATAGAGGCACAATTATTATGTAAGTAAGTGGTGAGATGTAATATAACCAAAAGCCAAGATTAAAGCCCTATGGAAAAGGAAAGTATTATTTAATGGTAAAACATAAGGGAAAGGATTTCTTTGCTTGAGGTCCTAGTTTGGTGGATTGGTGATCCTAACCAACTCTTTCTACACAGATTTGCTATTCCAGTTACTGTAACTGTCCTGTGATGGTAGGAACAGTGTAAAGTGGTTCTATCCCATTAAGTACTGGCCAATGCGGACTGCTTACTCAAAACTCAGAAGTGACCAGCCAATCCGTATTTTGTATAGAACCCTATGATGTTACGAGCTAAGTTTTACATCCCTGTAAATATACAAAATTGTATTTATACATTTGATTCAATGAATGATCGCTTTGGTTTTGTAGACATGACATGACTTAGATGGCCTTCCTTATTGATGTGAGACTGCTGTTTTGATACAGCATCTGGGTATAAATGCAAAGCTTGTTTAGGTGCTCTGTTGTCTTGACAGTGGGTAGGTATTTGGCACTTAAGCTCCTCACGTTCTTTAGTTTGCATACCATTCTGGTTGCCATCTCCTGGGCCAGCAGCAGTAGAGGAAATTTTAGTTTGGTAGTGTTTGACTGAGAGTGGCTCAAAATTTGAGGACTGAATGCCCCCAGAAGCAACAGTTGTTGATAATCCATCCGATGCCTGAGAGTGCCAAGTGCGACTGGATTGACTATTTTGCTGCTGAAATCTTGCAGTCTTATCCATGATTCCCATAAATGGGGTATTGCGAGGTCTGTGTTCAGCAACAATACCCTGAACTTGATTAACGTTACTCTCCTTGAGTCGAACGTCTGGGCCTAGTCCCTTAATACTATCTGAAAAACTACTGGCTGAAGTTAAGCTGCTGGTGGAGCTGGCAAGAATCATACTACTGGATGGAGAACTGGAAGAGACACCACTGGTTAGAGGACTTTGCTGCCTTGCTTCACTGAAATTCATTTCAGTAGGGGCTGTTAACCTGTCAGCGGTTTTAGACTTACTTGCAAAAGAATGAGAAGAGAGATTCTCATTATGCTGTGAATGGGAACACTGGCTGGACATAAACTTCTCACTGTACAGTTCAGAACTAGGACCTGTGGAAACACTTTCGGGTGATAACGTGCTTGTCCCATCCAAATGCTGAATTTTTGAGTGCCGGACTGGCAAGGGACTTTGAGGAAGATGCTGAAAAGATGACTGTGTCTTTGTATTACATTGACTGCTTCCCATTTTTGATCCAGGCTGGATGGAGCTCAGGTGCTGATTGGTTTTTACAATCTGTGCCTGCTTTGTTGGCTGCACGATCAAGCCTGGCTCTCTCAGATATTTGTTGCCTGTTCTGCTTTGAGGGGACACAGATCTAGCTTTCTGCTGAACACCTTCTTGAAGGGTCCTGCTGTATGATGAAGCAGCTAAGGAACACTGCAGCCTTTGCGGAGAGGAAACGGATTCATCAGGGTGTAGCAGTTCATCCTCCCTGTCTTGAAGATTAAAGTTATTCACACCTTGTGTAATGCCCTCCTCCTCATTATCAGAGTTGTTAATTTGCTGTAGTAGCTGTGGAGACTGATGCTTCTGTTGCTGTGTTCTCTGGAACTGTTTGCATTCCTCTTCTACTCGAGCCAGTAGACGTTTTATCTCTTGATTGCTAGGACACAGCTGTGTGGCTTCACGTAAGTCAGCAAGAGCAGCAAGTAGCTTTCTGTTTAGGGGGAAGAAAAAAAAAAGAAAAAAAGGCAAGCAATAAAAACCTGGGGCAAATCTGAGTCTCAGCATTGCCTACCACTAATCCACCTCCACCACTTTCAAAGAAATCTTCTGATTTGTCATCTCCTGCTGCAGGTGGTGACAATGTAAGAACTGGATGTTCTCCAAACCCAGGAAATTCTTTCCTACAGTGAAAGCACAGCCCCGGGGCTAAACCCTTCCCCTTGTTAAAGCTATTAACGCTTTTTCAGGAAGGCAGCAGAAGTCTGCTGATAACACTAGGAACTGACTCCTCCTCATAAGCCTTTTACTGTTACCGTCAGAGTGGTTAACTTGCCAAAGTCTGCTTCATGACCATTTATTATTCTGCTTAGAAAAGACACGGTGAATCAAAAAGGCACCTCTCCCTATACTTCAACTATACCCATGTAGTTTGGTATTTTTCCAGCTTAAAGAGATGGTTCCTCCTCTCTGCCCTTGTTTTTGTCTTGAACTGCTAATGATTCAACATATCCTGTCCTATAAAAGCACCCAGTTATTCTTGGTAATAAATAATGCAGCGCTGGAGTTCGGTAGCACACTGCTGAGTCACATGGAGTAGGAGTCCCATTCACTCTTACACTTAAAATAAACCCTCTTCCTATCAGTTTGTTACTTTCTGGACTGCCTAATAATTACCTAAATGAGTATTCAGTATTGCTTTTTGGGTTTGGTTGGCTTTAACTGATACAGAGACCTGATACAGATGAAAAGTGCACAAGCAAAGTAACTTTTCCTTTGTAAATTCCAAATACAACTAGCGGAACAGGAAAAGAGTTACTGGAAGTGTTAGGAAGTAAAAAATAAATCTGTGCAGACAGACGCACAGAATCCAACAGTACCTGCTGTTCCTTTTGGCTCTTGCTCTAGCATAATAGGCTTCGTAAGACTTGGGTTTCAGATCCAATGCTTTGGTAGCAAACTCTTCAGCCATACCAAAGTCCTAATAATTTAAACAAATGTACTCATTATACATTGACAATAAAAGAAAGCTGCATGCTTTTTATTTGTGGTACTGCTTCAAAAGTGCAGACAGCTTATGCAGTATAGAAAGTCACCTTTTATCAGTTAGCAAGAGCAGGTATTTTGTGAAAGACTGAGAGCAGACCTCATCTTGCTAACCTTGTCTCTCATGTCTAAGGGAAACTGACTCCAAGGTAGCTAAAAAGCAATGTTAATATAGATACAATACAGTTATTTTCAACCCAAAGATGTTAAAATATAAGAGAATGCATGTTTAACAGGATAAATTGACCACCTCACATAGCAAGGCTTTAGAATGTGTTTTGAAAAACAGCCAGTTAAAGACCTAGGAATTTAGAGGAAAACAAGAAAAATCAGGAAATGGTTAGGACTAGTCCAGAGCTTTCTTTGACAAGGTACATGAAATTTTTAGAGAAGAATTGCACTGAACGTAATGTATTTGGTCTTCATTTAACAAGAACACAGAATAAGAGTTTAGTAAATCATTGGTTAAACCAAAGACTGGAATTAACAAAGCAGAACTGAAATGGGGGCAAAGATGGCTATGGGGAAGATGAAGGCAGAAGCAAGTCTAATTTTTATAATAGCCATACACAGCACGGGGCGTGCATGACACTGAATTATCTCGAACATGATGATACAGGAGGTTGGAAAGTATTAACACCAAAAAAACCATCCTGAGATATCATGCAAAAGCAACATGATGAACTTCAGCTTTACATGCAAGGTGGTGCACTTCAGGATTAGCAAAATGTAAATGAGAGTTTATCAGCGGGATACACAAGAAACGTAAGAAACACACAGGCATGCACACACACGCACTGGTTGGTCACAGAGCCACTTTCTGCTGTTAGTTTGATGCAA